GCTGCTGTTATAACATCATTAAGCCTGTGTAATATTTCCACCGGAGACACTTGACGTGTTGTAGCAGTAAACTCATTTTAAGCCATCACTAACCACTTAATTGCAGTTATGTAACCAACTCCAAAAAACTTTGCTGTAATTCTGACAWTATGTGGAATCAAGCMTGTCACCAGTCACTTCTGAGCGTTTTCTGCTTCTGCAAGCTAAAATGTCATAGGGGTCTTGCAGAGTCCAATACATCCTGCACTGTCAGGTGAAGCATCTCACTGAACTGGCTCACTGTAATACCCTGCAACATATCCTGTGACGTGAGTTGGGRTTTCTTTGGTTGCAAGATTTTAATGTTGCACTGAACCTCAAAAATCAAGACCCCTGTGTGCAACATTTTACAGACTGAGTTTATTAGTTTGATGCGTAAAACTTTTGGGGGCTAAGCATCATAGAAGCAAATGAACAGCAGTGTTTTGTGGGTTAAACTGTGTTGCTCCCTCTGCATTATATAACATCAGGCTTTCCCAACACATTTACTTTTATTGTGTTTTCTTCACTTGTGTGTAGGTTTAGGCTACACATCGCACCTAAAACACACCACAAATTGTGTCAATGTGTATGATCACCGATGTGAAAGAAAATATTTATTTTCTTTATTTCTGACCTTTTGATTCAGGTTCTGTGGAAAGAATATAAACAATTAATATCTTACCTGTTGTAAATATCTCTGAAGTATATCAGGTTAGAGAAGCAAAGCTTTGTTCAGACTTGGTTTACAAGCTTTCAGCAAAAAAAAAATGTCTGATATTGGTTCAGGCAAATGCTATTTTTGGAACCTTTTACATTTCTATGAACCTTGTGATACACAGTTGTTTACATAAAAACCCATGATCATTCGTAGCAGCAGCTAGCTGTAGCACATCTAGTGCAGCCTGTGACAATCACAGCAAGAAGAATGTTATATTTCTGCTTGAGTAATTGTGAAAAGCAAAACTGAAAGTAGTGTAAATGTCAACAAAATAACCACTGAACCTCTCTTCAAAATTTTGCACTATCCTTAAACCTGCATTTATATTTCCCAAGAACCAACATCATCCAGATTATCTTTGCACACCTACCTTCAATTATTCCCATCAAATTATCCAACAATCATAAATTCTCTTTTGGAAATAACGTCTTTCAGCCTTTAGAATGCATGTCCAYATTTGCTGGAATTCTTTCACTGTTTACATCTTAAACTTCCTGCAGCTAACTCGTGACATTAAACAAACCAGATCATGCAGAAGCAGTGGGTGAGAGATGTCGAACAGATATGAGACTGGAGAACAGTCGTGTTGTGTTCAGAAGCTCAAGTTTTTGTTTGTGTATATTTTTAGYAAAAATTTTTCTGCCACAGAAGACTGCATTGACCAAAGTTTCCATGTGCTGTAATCCAGTGTACCTTGGCTTCTGTCATTTTAATTGATGCCTGCATACTACAGACCAGGGGCGGAGCCAGACTTTTTTTTTTGCAAGGGGTGGCACACAGTGGTGGCCAAGGTGTTTTTTTAGAGTAGCCCATACACAAAAAAAAAATAATAAAATAAAATAAAAAACACTCTGGGTTTAAAAAATGCAAGTTGGCCAACATAGGATTCCGACTGATTTTAATTTAGCTGTATTAGAAATGTTGTGTGATCRTAGCTAAGAATGTTTAAAATAACATGCTAAATGCTAGTCAGAACTTATTATTCAGACATTTTAAGACAGACAAAACTGAAGGAGTGTAGAAGTAACTGAAAACAATCGTTACAAAATTCTAAATGATGACAATTCAAGATAGTCAACACAATTAACTTGAAAAGGCTAAAATTTAGCCATTTTAWGACTTACTGAGATGAAATTTGTAGTGTAGTCAGCCAGTTTTGAACATACAAAGCTGAACATTTATATAAAGTACAGTAGTATCAGAAAACAATCTTTACTAAAACCTAAATGCAAATACAAAATCCAAGATCCACACCTATTACAGACACATTTCCTCATTTCATTACTCACACACTCAGATATACATATTTATCTGTATGTGGGTGTGTTTGGAAGTTTTCCACACACTGTTTGTTATGCAATGTTTTTTTTTTTTAATACAGCCTCCTTGTTGTTGCAGGGGGTCTGCGGGGCTTTAAGTCATGTGAAGTCTCACGAAGCGATGCCATGAGCTGACATATCATGGAACATCCAAACCCAACAGCTGCTGACCTTTTGGCTGTGATACAAACATGTACTGTATGACACCCCTGATGATCAAACCAACCGAACACTGGCTTACTGGGGCCTCACTGACTGGTCTGTGCAGTAGTTTCCCCAACAACGATGAATGCACTGTTTCTGGAAACCAGCAGACACATGGCTTGTTTATTCTCCATGGTTAACCATGGGACCATTTCTCAAATATGCATCACTTGTGATCTTTAAATAGATTATAATGTGGAAGGCAGCAAGCATGGTACCATCATTAACGCCGCGGAACTTTGGGTTAATTGGATTATTTATGATAGGAGKCATACCAGACTGGCTGGTGGATTTTGTCAATAGGAAAACACCTGCTTTTGTCTGTGTTATTGTACTTTGTACTTTTCGATTAAAACTGGGGCATGAAATGACTCCACTCATGAGACACTGTTACTGACACGCACACACACACACAKGACCAGACAGAAAGAAAACCAAAAATAGTAGATCATCCATGTAAAAAAATCCCTTATATCTTAAGCAAAAGGCAACTATGAAAATTAGAAATACCAGAAATAATTTGTTCATGCCCCCCACCCCAATTTAGAGTCCCTTACAGCAACTGTTGAACTCATCATAAATGAACACATGAAGACATTTACTTCAAACTAAACAAAATAGTTTTGCATGTGGAGGAGCAATAAATACGTATGTTTCATATTACATAACCAACTTTAGTTTCTATTCTTTTGAACCTCTCCCGCTCGAAAAACCAAAACCGCTCCTTCGTATTCCGAAAAAAGCGTTCCGCACAATTTTATTGCATAACAGTGTGACGATTTCTAACATTTGTTTCATTTTAAAACGCTGGATGCGCTGATGGCTTGAAGACACGCAAGTTGTGTATGTTTGCATAAAAAAAAAGCACTCGCATCAAATTAGTCCCATGCATGCAACCCAACCACACCGAGAGCGCAAGAAGTGCTTCTCCCAACACCAASCCCTGAATTTCCATCTGAACCAGATGTTCTATTTTGGTACATGAGTGAGCATGTGTTGCGTAACGCCTGTAATCCTTAAAAAATACTTTTTTTTTTTTGGCTTCTGGTTTCCAAAGTCTAAAGTTTAAATCCACAGGGTTTTTAATTTTTAACTGGACTTTGAAGGCAGAATTTGTAACGCTTCATCTCCGATTTTCTGTAACCGCTGCTTTTAGAAAAATTCCCAGCAAAAGCCAAATCAAAATGGGAAACTTTGAATCATAAAACAAAAAAACATGTTCAAAAGGTGTTAGCTAGTAGTTTTCCTGGGTGAGATCAGTGTCAAGCTGTTGCGTTTTAAACCTTGAAGTCACAAAAGTTAAACGTTACATCATACCTGTATGGCTTCCTTGTGTTTCTGTGAAGTTTGAAGTTTACCTGTGCTTCCACATCTAATCCCATTTAATATGACTTTCAGAGAATCTGCATAAAGCTGTTAAACAGAAAACATATCCTGAGTAAAGAGGCATGTCCCAAGAGGCATTTTCCAGAATTATCTCACTTAAGAGCCATGCCTGGAAACTTATCATCAGTCAGTTTCAAATAAAAAGAGCCACTAAAGTGCCTCTGGAACACATTGTTTCTAAACTTGTCTTAAAGTAGAACAATGGAGCAAACAAAGTCATAAATGAAGCCAAAGTCTTGATTGTCTGCAGCATTTCTCTGAAGCACTTTGGCTTGCAAGCTTTATTGACTTTTTTTCTCCATGCAGCTGAAGCAGAATTATCCATAACGCAGAAGTGAGATTAAACTGCAGCACCACTTTTGACCAAAGCAAGGAGTAAAGTTAACATATAAAAATCTGTTAGGGGATTGTTGAAGAAAGACTGACTAAAACTATCTTGTATAAAAGAGGCAAAAGTTTATATATTCCTTTTCTCTTAGCCTCAATAAATAAATGTGCACCTCAGCCACACTGCACAGCCATCTATAGCTACTGATCTGGTTCAGCGGGGTTTCTGTTTTCCTAATTTTGATAGAAATCAAGGACTTTGAGGTGTAATGATGACTTTAGGCCTTAGCAGAGCAGCCTTGTTTTTAGCAGCAGATGGACGCGAGCCCAGTCTGCACACGCAGGGAAGCCACAACATATCTGGTTACACATGGTCTGCCAGATCGTCTGAAGGAAAACGCTTCTAGTACAAAGTGTTTTTCCTCCTTGCAGATTCCAGATTCACATGGAAACCCAGTCATTACTTCACTATCATTAGTGGTTGTGCTGTTTTTGACATTTGGGGCGGACGGGGAAAATGCTTAATACTCAAACAATGAGAAAGGATACAAAACATGCCTTTTTCCCCAAGTCTAAGAAAACAACTAAAGTGTGTTTTTCTGCAAGAAGAGCCCCTGTGGCTAACAACAACGTGAGTCACATGCTGCCTATCAGACAGAACTTTTAAACACACTGAACGCTTGTTTACTCGAATATTAAATTGTTTAAAATTCTTACTTCCTGTTCAATTAGATTTAAAATCATAGGAGTATTTTAAAGCTATTGTGAGTAAACAAGTTTTATGTAAAGCACTGCTTTGTAACATAAAGCTACTAAAGCATCAAATGGGATACTTGTTTTTATGTGGGAGTTTATGAACCAAATTTACACCTACTTATTTATATATTATATAACTATAATATAGTTATATTATTCCACATATTATGTGGAATAATGTGCTGGGTATATTTCCTTTGTCAAGAGTGTCCACTAATGTATTATGTCATTATGACATTGCAGACATAAATGAGCAAAAACCAACGATGTAACGTATTATATAAACACATGGTTTATTTAAAATGTGCAGTTGTATCCAAAACACCATAGTGTACAACAGTTCGGAGGATACTTTACAGCAACAATACCAATCTCTTTACAAAACACGACGTTTCGCACCAGCTACAAGCAAGACGTCACCCTGTGCAGTTTTACACATGGTCCTGGTTTGCTCAGCTTCTGCCGTTTTGTAAAAAAATAATAATAATTCAAAAAAATTACAAGTCTTTGGTAGCTAAAAAAAAAATGCATCGCTGATCCAAAGTCATTGTAGAAATGTGCTCCTCTCCTACTTACAGGCACTGTTGTCGTGCCGTTGTTTTGCAAGAATTTCCATCTGATAGAAAAAACAAAACAATAAMATCAGATAGTGGATGACACTGCTAAAACTCAACGAGTGCACCTGCAGCTTGAAAAGCAGGCGACTACTTTGAGATGTTTCGGCTCTGTGGATATTGTAGTTTTTTCTGAGCGTTAGGTGAGCAGCATGGGTATGCATGGCCTTAGTTGTTACAAAAGCAACTTAAAAAAAAAAAACATGTTCACTTCTACTGTACAACAAACTGATTTTTGTTCAGAATTATAAACAAAAACAGAATTAACGTCCCCCATAAGCAGCAAGCCCCCGACTGCAAGACTACACTTTTGTGAAATCATTACAGTATAACAAATTAGTCTACTGCAGCTCTATTAGACTCGACTGTAATGACCTCTGTTGCTTATTTTGTTTTATTTTCTTGTTAGGCTTCGATGAGCATGAACACGTTAGCAACACAGTGTAGGTACAGGAAAGGTCCATTTGAGTCAGAAATGTGTGGCTTAAGAGTCCTTGAAACTTGTACTTTGAGATGGGACAAATCCACATGACGGGGGCTTTTCTTGCTGAGACGTGGAGGACCGACACAGATGGGTCTCCTCAGGATGCTGAGACAGCAAAGTCCTCACGGTTTTCCAGGTCTGCAGGGCGAGCCCAATCAACACCTCCTCACCCCCACCTCTACAGAGTGATGGGTGACTGTTGGAAGAGTTTTTGGCCAGGGTGGGAAAAAAAATCCACCCTCTGTCTGAAAGCAAGCGCTCATCTGGGTCTAGCCTGCCATCTCTACTCTTTACACCTGTGCCTACAAAGAGAGACTACGACAAAGAGCTGGACGGTATCACATGATGGGCCTGATGCGGCACCAGTCAAGAGTGTCTCTAGTTCTGGTTTTTTTTTATTGCTGTTCAGTGACAACAGTTCATATGAGTCCCATCGATCTTTTGCAGCCCCGACGCTTCTCCTTCGTTGTCGAAGGGGTTCTCGGTGGCGGAGATTTCTTGACGCATACGTTCAAAATCGAGGTCCATTACCGGAAAGAGACTGTGGCTCTGCCCGCCCCAAGGCAGAGCCACTTATACAGCAGATCCAGCGCTGTGGTTGCAGGTCTGCTGCGGCTCCGAGACGTTCTGATTGTCCAGGGGCGGCAGCACGTCCGTCGGGATGCGGGACTGGAACTTCTCCATCTGTTCGGGGCTGGCCAGGTTCTTGAGCAGGTAGTTCTCCCGCTCGAGCTGGTTGTTCTTCTCTGCCAGTTCTTTGATCTGCTCTTTGAGGATCTCCACCTCCTCACGCACCGCATACATCAGGTGGTTCTTGACCAGGTCCTGTCGTGAAGGAGGGAGAGGTGGTTCAGTTTCAAAATGAGCACTGAACGATGCCAACAGCCTCACGACTGTTATCATCTCTATTCATGTACAAAAGCACTTTCAGTTAGCTTGATTTATAATCGCAATCATTTATGTTCTGCAGTCTCTTGCACTTGCTTTCTACTTTGAGATGTGAATAAAACATGCAGCAGTCTGTGCACGTCTATTCCAGACTTCCCACTGTGTTCAACCGTGGAGCATTAATTAGTTTGGGAAGTTGTATTTTGGGGAAGTCTGTAATCACAACTGTTTTATCTCAAAATTTAGTCAAAAAAATATGTTGTGATAAACAAAACATCTAATATAAAATGATGTAGTCTGTTAACACAATGTTTTAGTTAGCAGCTGGAGTACACTGATCAAAACACTGGTGTGTTCCATATTTGTACACAAATATATTTCAGTCTATTAGAGTGTGCAGCCTTCCAGGTGTTTGTCTCAACTTACCATTGCCTGTTCAATCTTGTTGTCAATGGCCACAACGCTAGCACCAGAGGCACTGCAAAATAAGAAGAAAAAAAAATTCATAAATTGACAGTTCATAAACACAGCGGACRACCCTACTGCTTTCTAAACTCACTGCCCTCAGACAGCGAAACAGAAAGCTAGCAAAACAGAAAGGAAACGTCTAGTTGTGTTTTTSTGTAAGCTGCACCCAGTGTGTGAGTGAGTCAGAGCCTTGGCTTTATTTAGATCAGGAGTTCTCATGCCATTTTGGGTGAAAAAGGGTGAAAGAAAATTGCAGGGACCCCCTCATAAACCCCACACTGTTTTAAAAGATCATTTATTGTAATTTCAACCCCTAAATGCCATGGGAATATATATGTTTATTAAGTTTATTGTGTTTTTTTTTATTAGTTCATTGTTCTCCATGCATTTTTAAAAATAAAAAAACACATTTATTTATTTGTATTTATTTATTTTAACATGAATAGTTGAATTAACTATTTAGTGAAATTTTCCGAGGACCCCCAAGATACCTCTCGTGGACCCCAGGGGGTCCCGGGACCCCATTTTGAGAACCTCTGATTTAGATCACAACGTAATAACACAGTATGCCTGTGTCGGTGCAGAATGCACAGGCTGCTGTTCAAAGTTCAAATAAACAAGCACAGCGGGCCGAGCTGAGCGTTTGTAGCCAAACACGGTTAGCATTGCGAAGATGCGCGGGGGGAACGTCATTTGAAACGTCTTAAAACAGTCAGGAAGTCATAAAACYGTGACGCCAAGTTACCTGTTGTCAAGTTTGACTGACACGACGTCTCCTCCGAGCAGCGAGGAGAAGAAAGAGATGGAGAAGTTGTGCAGCTCGTAGACGGCTACCTCCATCGGTGTTTTGGCGAACATCTCCGTGCTCATGTTCAGTACCACGCTCGTTCGGATAATATTTCTCGCCACGTTTGCGACTGGTTGGTCACCGAAGTGAAGGTCCAGGTTTGGGTTCGTCTCTACTTGGTTAGTAGTAGCGATGCACTGGMTTCGTTCTCCTCACGCCTGAGGGCAGTGCTGTGTCAGTGAGCTTCGCCGACTGTTACAAGCGACTGTCTGATGCTATTTTCTGCAACCGGCCTGTATTTGTAAGGCTGGGTCCTGACGTCACGGGCCGCGCGCATGTCATTAGTCAACGAAAGTAGGGGAGGGGCGAAGGAACAGAACTCGGGGTGCTTTTCTCTGTGCTCTTAGCAAGAAACGCCATTATTGAGACTAACTAAATACACCCCCTTCTCTGACTTTTACATAATCCGTTGTAAACAACAAAGTACTTTGTGTCCCGAACTGTCAATCACGTGATTGATTTATGACGCGCTTATTGTGTTTTTAAGCATTTTCAAAGCTGATGTAAACAGTTTAACAAGGTGAACCGAGACTTCACATAGGTTACAGCAGCGTAAACTGCACATAAACTTAGGTTTCAACGAGAATCCAAATTGTGCTGACTCATTATTTCTACTTCAGCAACCCTTGTTTATTAAGTATCCTGCAAAAGCTTTGAAGAGCATGCGTTTTAAAACAAACACTTCAACGCAGCACGCCTCTGTGCCCTGTTTCTGAACCTGTGAACCCACAGACCCAGAGCTGCCCTCATTGTAACAAACACAAGATGAACACCATCAGTCGCATCGTGTGCGTAAACAAGACGCTCCTATTAGAGTCAGGAACCTAATCTGATAACCATTAGTTCTGTTGCTCAATTTGTTTTTCACAAGAATCTTAGTTATCAAGAGAAATAAAAGTTTTATTAGCAGGTATTGCCATCCTATTATTTGTTATTGATCTATTACGTACATGCATTATTCCTCGATAACTTGGGCTCCACTTTAAAGACAAAACATTCTGTCCCCAGTAGGGACCTAATTGTTTATCAGTGTACTTACTGCACGTGCAAACAATGCATGTGTGTTTTTCCACCTAATGGGGTAAATTTCCTCTCATTTGATGTCTGAACTCTAGTGCCCTCTAGTGGTAAACATGTATACTACAGTTACCATAAAAAGATTGTGTTCATAAACATTTTTTGTTCATGGGATTTTCCATTAACCTTTTACTTTAAATTCCACCTTGTTTTGCACACCTAGAATATGTTTATGCTGCTCGAATCGTACTGGATATGCACTAAACAATCCAGACTTGTTTTAATCCTAATGCAGCGCTTGCTGGTGAACTGTGTATTTGGTTTCAAAGAAAGATAAATGTGTTTTATCCGTCTAGGGTCTACCCTACCTTTCGCACAGTGACCCCGTGACCCAAAAAAGGAAAAAGTGGGCCAAGAAAATGGATGGAGGGGTAAATGTATATTTGTTGTATGTTTGACCTTTTCTCCCATGGCTGCAAAACATGATCAACATCTAGTCAAAGAACTGCAGCAGTTTGGCTCCAGGAACCACAGTTTTAGTTTGACCTCTTGCACTCCAGGTAGCATTTTGAACTCGTGACGCAACTGTACCAGGACTCCTGCGAAGTGTAGCAAAACGATTGTGGATAATTTGATGCTGATAAAGCACCACCTCTAACGTCAACATGCGCCCCCGCAACCATTATCTCCCTGAGGAATTACCACCTTTGATTTGCTCTGTGTAACATTCTAACAGTTATTGCTCAACACTTTTCAGCTGTCACTTTCTGTTCTGTTTTGCTGGTGTAACTGATTAATTATAATGATAAGCCAGTTCTTTTTTTAATGCCTCTGGGTAAGACATTTTCTTGCAAAAAAAAAAAAAACTGGTAGAACATTGTCAGCCTGACAATAACTGTTATGGAAAAGTTTTCTCTGAGTGGGTTTTACGTTCAACTCTGAGCTCTTCTGGTTCATTTGTATCAAGTGCAACGCTGCCAGATCAGTTTTATTACATTTTTTACAATAAATTATTGGTAAAGACCCTAAATATGACCCTAACTTAGTCAATTTTACAGATAATGGGCTAAACCCTGGAGTGGTAGTAGCTGAGGGTCATCCATAACCCATACTTGGAGTGCTAATAGATCTTGTAATATTGCATTAGACCCCATTTATTGTCTAAAAGCTACAACTTTCTCATGTTTTATTGTGAGAAACGCTCTGGCATTAAATGTTTCCTTCAAACCGAAGAGTTTAAAAAACACCAGGCCTTCAATTTTATTTGAAACAGACAGTTATATTAACAATGTTTGGTAGCCCCAACACTGTTGCTTCTTCATAATGAGTGCACTGCCGGATAATTTGGGCCCACAGCGCCTGTCGGTTCAGATTTTGTGGTGCGATGGTGGAACTGCCAGGGCTAATGTCAAACCCTGTTACAGCAACACGGGGCAGGTGAATTAGCATTCCCTGCCGAGACAGTTACCCTCCTGGAGACGGGAGTCGCTCTGAATGCTTTCAGCCAAGCTGAGACACACAGATACTTCAGACACCAGGGGAACGTGCAGCACCCAAGCTGTGCACATGCAAAATGCAGAAATGATGAGCGTAATGACATTTGTACAAACAAAAATGTTCCGTCTTTCTTGTTTTTTTTGGTGTTTTTCTTGACTGAAAGGTGTTTATCTGCATAAACAACCAAATTTAGTTTTACAGCACCCTGTTTCTAAACACTTTATGCCACTTGCCAATGAACTTGAAAGTGGCTCATATTTCCGAGGGACTCTGTGTGCCTGCTCGTGTTTGAGATGTGCCAAAGTCAGTGAGTCACTCTGCAGCCTGGCGATGGGCTGCCATTCCCATCAGATGCCCTTCGCACGAGAGCCAGACTGGTTATATAATGCTGTTTGTCTGCAATAACCGCCAGAAAAGTTGTCATAGGCTGAAAACCGTTCATCTTTTTGCTCTGAGCAGCATTTTTTATACGCAAGTTCATCATCAGAATTTACAAAAACAACTGCACTATTTCATGCTCACCTTGTAGTAAAATAAAGGCTTTTTTTGTTTACTTTAACAGAATTTGCGATGCATTGCCTGTGGGAGTGTGGTCTGACCTCTCTGCCATGGGTTACAGCCAGAGGCTATCTGGAAGGAAGTGGTCCGTGTGGGCAGCTGGGCTGAATACTAAACAGTCTCCAGCAGAACACCCACAGGCAGTCATTATCACATCCCCTGCAGTTGCCCTGGCAACTGATAACAACAACAAGCACGTGGTCTTACTTTTAGTAGGCTTTCAGTTTCTGCTGTGATTGCATGTAAAAACTTTGGGTTTGTTTCATGTATCGTGCCTTGCTTGCACACGTTACTGTGACACGATTGTAATTTTTTGTTGCGATTGTTGCGTGCACAACAACAAACTGTGTGCGTATCGGTTTTATGAATTCCTCATGAGTCAAGTATAGTAGACGGATCGAACATCAGCTGTTTTGCAACCAATCACTTAATGCACAGCTGATGTAGAGAACAGGTTGTTTTATTAATTTGGCTGTTTTGCTCTCTTTTGAGTTCAACTTTATGCTTTGTTGGAAATTGGTGTCCAAAACTCAGTACTACCCAACTGTTGACAGTGTTCCCCACTCTATTTTATCTAATATGCTTTTTTTTAGTGCACACACCCAACAATCAGCTGCAGCTCTGCACATCAGCCAGGTAAAAAAAAGATTTTCATCCCATTTACCAGGAGTTTCAACTTCTTCCCTCAGGCCGGAGGTTTTTGGTCCCCAAATGTTGGACAAGACATTTTAAAATTAGTCCTGGTCCCGCTGCTGTTATTGAAATTCAATTCAAAATTCAATTCAAAAATACTTTATTGATCCCAGAGGGAAATTAGGTGTTGTTGTAACTCCATCCATCCATCCATCCATCCATT